CTCGCAACCTGTAGGTGTGTGAACAATATGTTCATCAGATGTACTCTAAAAACCCATTGACATGTATTGCGAATGGAATCTCGAAAATAATATTGTCAATAGATGAGAGTTATAGACTTAGCACATGTTGTATAAACCCTGGCGATGATGTGACTTCGTGCTTATTCCTTAGGAGGAATCCTTACGAATAAGTGATAAATCATTCTTAATAAATGAGAGCTATGGACTTGGCACATTATAAACCCTGACAACTATGGACTTAGTGCTTGTTGTATATACCCTGACGACAGTGAGACTTCGCACCTATTCCTTAAGAGGAATCCTTAGGAATGAGTGATAGATGATTCTTAGGGTAGATGCTTAAGAAATAAAGAAAATAATGAGGATGAGTAATTGGGTTGATTGTTTAATGATAAAACATAATAATTTTATTATTGTGGGTTGAAAATCCTATGTACTAACCAGGTTTCCCAACCTGACCCACTCAATTTATTTGTATCACAGGTGTCGATACGAAGCTACGTTACACTGAGAGATTAAAGGAGATGTAAAATCACTAGTGTAAATGAATGTAAGTTCTGTTTATGCTTATGTTTTTGTATTGACGATAACATCCCAAAGTTTTAAAATGAAAAAAATACATTTCCTTGGAAATGATTTGATAATATATAATCATGTTTTTGGGAACAAATTCCGCAACGTATTTCCTTAAAAGATACTCTGATTTTTAAAATCAAGCATAAACAAATCAGTCTTTTCGGGCCTTGAAATTGGGGATGTCACACAAAAGGGAAAAGAAATTCAAACCGAGCTCGGGTTGCCTCCCGATAAGTGCTTCTTTTTCTTGGAGTCATGAGCCGGACTTCGTTCCTCCTCACGTTGAATTATCCGGAGTGTCCATCACCATTTGAGTATTTTGCTCCTTCCATCTCATTTTGTACACTTGGACTCATCTAATATACGCCTTTTTGGAGTTTTCTTTTTTAGTTTTCACTTCATTTGCTTCAAGTTTGCGTTTGATCCCTTTATTTTCCAAATTTTCATTTCTTTGCTCTACGAGAACCATCTTTTCATCAACAACTGAATTTGTTTCCTTAGAAGTAACCTCGTCTTCATCACTTGATAAATCTTCACTTTCCTCACTCACCAAATAAGTTAGATTCTTATAAGCGATTACTTCAAACACCAATGGAACGGATGCTCTTGGTTTGGTATGTTTGACCTGTAGAATTGTCTTAAGTTCTATTTCCATAAGCTTCTCCAATTCTTCAAGTTCATCTTCTTTAACAATATTAAAAACTTCACCTTGAACATCACTTCCTTAGAAACCATCCTCTATTCCAAAAGTAGCTTCATCATCTCTCACTCTCAAAGTAAGCTTGGATTCGCGAATATCAACCAAGGCACTCGCAGTATTATGTAGAAGGCGACCCAAGATGATTGGAACATCATGATCTTCTTTCATGTCCATAACCACAAAGTCAATTGGAAAAACAAACTTCCAAATTTTTACTAAAATGTCGTCCACAATGCCCCTAGGATGTGTCACTGAACGGTTTGCTATGTGGTCATTCTTGTAGCCTTCAACTTCGGAATATCGAGCTTTTGATAAAATAAAAAAGGCATTAAATTTATGCTAGCCCCATAGTTAGCTAAAGCATAACAAATTATTCCCAAATTCACACGGAAGAGTGAGACGTCCAGGATCTCCCATATTCTTTAGTAACTCCCCTAATACAACCTTTGAACTCTGCTCACTAAGAACCACCTTGAAATTTTTCTTCAAATGCTGACGAGTATCTATCAAGTCTTGTAAGAACCTTGCATATTCGAGAATTTTAGACAATGATTCAATAAAAGGAGTATTTGTTGGAATACTTTTTACTTGCTTCATAAATTCCAAATGCTCATGTTCCAGTGGATGGCTACTAACTCAGGACGGAAACGGTAAAAGAGGACGGTAAGACAAAACTTTTGCTGAATTTTTCTGTTCATACTCGGCCCACGTCGTGAGCTTTGAAGGATCGTGTCATGAGTTCGGTGTTTCAGCAGAAATTTTTTCTTCGATTTTTGGCTTTTTTAGCTTTGGTTTGGATAGTTGTGGCTCCACTTCTAGTGCTTCTAAGAACTCAGAAATAGCCTCTTCTTCAGTTTCAATCATCTTGACTTGCGAATGAGGTTTTTTCTCGGGGATTTTTGGAGATAACTTATCTTGTACGAGATTAGTTATTTGACCTAGTTCGACTTCAATATTATGGATAGATGCTTGGTGATTTCTTAGCAAAGCTTGATGTTCCTTCATGATATTTTGATGTTCCCTTATCACAACATCCGTTTCATCATGCCTTTTTTTAGAAGCCTCCATAAAACGAGCTAACACATTCTTAAAGTCAACCTTCTTTTCGGCTGGTGGTTGTTCCTTTTGGTAGAAGCCTCGACCTGTCTGCCTATATTTTTCTTCTTTTTGCTTCTTGTACTCTTCATATGGTAACCACTCCTTCTTTGGTTTTCTCCAATCTACATCATATTTATCCCCACTAGAATAGCAAACTTGAGCCTTTTTATTTCCATATTCATCCTACTGGCATTCTTTTGTCAAATGTGGACCATTGCATCTTTCACATCCAACTCTTATAGCATGAATTGACTGATCCATCTTAGTCATTCTTTTGTCCATGGTGTCAAGCATAGCTAGTATAGCAGCCATGTCTTCAGAATTTCCTCCCCCAACCCCTTTAGCTCCTTCGTTTCTTGGATTGTGGTACTCACGATAATGCTTTGCGAATTGTTCAACCAACTCCTTGACTTCGCCCAGATTTTTCTTAGGTAGTGGTCCTTGAGAATCAAGGAGTTGCCTTGTCATGACATTCACACCATCATAAAATATTGAGACTTCTTGTTGTATATTAAGGTCGTTATGAGGACAATTTCTTAACAACCCTTTATAACACTCCCATGCCTCATAAAGTGATTCACACGGATTTTGCTCAAAGTTAGCTATTGCCTTGTTGAGTTTAGCTATTTTTTATGGTGGTCAGAATTTTTCCAAAAATTGCTCTCGCATTTGTGCCCACCTAGTAATTGCACCAGGTGGAAGTGCCTTCAACCAGTCTCTTGCAGCTCCTTTAAAAGTAACGGGAAACATCCTTAACAACACGGTCTCTCATGGAACATTCAAGACATTAAAATAGTCTGCGATGTCATTGACTTCATCCAAATGCTTGTAAGCATTCTCATGACCCTTTCTATAAAATGGTACATCCTTAAGTGCAACAAAAATGTGTCCTTTCAATTCGACTGTTGCAGTGGCGGGAATTGTAGGTTGTACTAGACCGGGACCAGCATCGTCTCTTATCCGCTTCTTGTATGCCCCCATGGACATATCAGCAATGTTTGCCATCTTGTTTTCTGGCTCGTCTTCGGGTTCATTCTTTTCTAGTTCGAATTTGGGCTTGATATCGTATTCAGATTCTTGTGGATTAGGTATTTGACCTAAGCTTTCAATTGTGCTCTTGTTCTTCGAAGATGTACTTGACTCTCCCATGTTTTTCCCTGTTTGCTTCCCAAAAACTGATTTGAGATCTTTAAAAGAAGACTTCTTTGGTATTTGGTTCACTCCTGCGTTCTTATCCGTCTTTTTGTGAATGGCCGACACGGGATCTTCAAGTGGTGGTGCCAAAGGTGTGTTGGAACTTCTGGGCATGAACTATTGCAAAATAAACAAAAAAAACGTAAAACTGAACAAAAACAAAGAAAAAGACAAACGACTGGATGCACGTTGTGAATCTCAAAAACTCACGTTGTGAGTTTAGTTCTGAAAAATAAATAAATAAATAAATAAATAAATAAAACTAAGCTGAAAAATAACTTTTTGCATGTTTTACCCCATAAAAAGGATCGATTAACCTAAAGCAAATCAATTAACAAATAAAAAGGTCGTTCCCCGGCAATGACGCCAACAACTTGATGTGTGTTAAACGTATTAGTTTTATCCTACTACTTTAAACATAAAATGAACACACGAAAAGGCAGTGTACCTATCGATTAGCAATATATCTCAAGCAAGTAAGGTATTGAACACATGAAACAATATTAACTAATTAATCTATCTACTATTAAGTTAACCTAAAATTCTAGCAAAGTAAATGTTTTTATCTAATTTTGCAAGTTTAGATGAACTTAATCCCTTAACAACTGTTCAATCAATTAACAAAAGCACTTCTGTTAGTTTGAATTCCCTTTCCTTCAATGGTTTTAAATGATAATTATGACAATTCACGTTGGTTACCAATTAAGACATTATTAGCAATTTAATTCCAAATTTCCTAATATTAAATTAATTCATATAGAGCTATGTATAGTTACACATATTTTAACACAATAATTATTAATTAGAATTGGAGCTATGTAAGATTGAGTTGACACACACAAATTATGGTCACAATATGAGTTCTCTAGCACAACTAAATTCGATAATTCAGTTACTTATCTAAGATTGGTTCGATCTTAGCTCTAATAATCTAATGTTCACTAAATTACTAGGTATTTAAATTCATGTAGATTAATAATCACTAACTACACATAATTAGAAGCTAAAGCAAACTAGGTATCAAATCAAGCATGTTAGGTATAATCAATCAAACAATACATTAACCAACAAGAAAAGTATAAATTACTATAAGCAAACTATAAGTTCCAGCTTCATCTAGCTAATAGAAGCACCTAGATTCAGCTACTTATTATAACAAACAAACATAAACAAGTCATAATTGAAAACATCATAATGTACCAAACTAGAAAGTGGATTGTGAACTTCTTTTTTCTTGGTATTAGAACCAATTCCCAAGCCTTCCGAAACCCTTCTCAAGTCAGCCAAACTCCTTAATTCGTAGGGATCAATGACTTCAATAAGCCCCTGAATCAGAAGATCCCAATTAATTTAGTAGAAAAATACTAAACAGTCAGATATCATTTTTTTTTCAAAGCCCCTAAAGTAATGGTCCCCTATATTTAAACCAATTATTATTATTATTATTATTATTATTGATTGATTGCTTCTATTTTGCAACTGAGAAATATGGCTAAAAAATACAATAAAACGATCACGTTGCCAATTGTAGATATATCCCGGATAATATAACTGTTAAAACGATAGTCTTTGACTTTCTTTACTTGACGTCATTATAAAAAACTATTCCATTTTGTTTGTCTTTTTTTTACTTAGTATAAATAGATTTACTTTATTTAATGTCTCTACAAATACTAATTAACAAAACTTACAATTTATATAAGTATTTAACTAAAAGATAGGTCATGAACCGAAAACAGACAGGTAATCTGTTTAAGTATTTCAAACATAACGAATGCCTCCTTTTCAGGAAGTGCACATGACACCTAAATTAATCGTGATGCATTCAACTGACAAGAAACCTAATCAGTTGTCTTTGGGGGTTGCAGAAAGCCTCTTATTGGTTGATCTCAAGCACGAGTTTTTCAAGTGCGTCTTTGGAGAGAGGAATGTAAAGGCAATCCTGTCCATCAGAGTGTCTTCTGATTTTGACCAATTCGTGATCTTTGAATTCGGTCAAATGGGAATTCAATGTCACCAGACTGCTCACCAGAAACCGCTCTCTACAGCTTGTGAACAATGTATCAATTGGCATTCCTGAATTATAAGCAAAAATAACAAGAAGAAGAAGAAGAAATAAACCATTTTGTTGCATAAATTGGGTAAAGAGAAAGTTAAAGAAGTAAGTACCTTCTTGATCAGGATGAGCTAATTGATGTTGTGCAAGAACTTTGAAGACAGATTGGGCATTTGGTGTCAAACTGTGTAAGACAATTGAAGCTGTTTTTACAGTTTGAGAGGTGCCACCATGAGCAAGAATCAGAGGATGAAAGACTCCTTCGACTTTGTATGCTGCAAAAGTAGGCACATGATGCCAACACCACTTGAACTCCACATGAACCATTTTCTTGTCCCACACTGTCATCAAAACTCAATGTGGATTAAAATCACATGGAATTTGTAAAAGGACATGAATGCCCTTGTCATTTACAAGCAGCAGCTTACATAGAGGTGCATTCACGTGGTCTATGGAAGCGACAATACAAACATGGGAACAAGAAGCAATTCTTGCAAGAAGATGTTGAGAGTCGGAATCACGCAATCCAGGCCCATCAATATTGTGAATCACAAGACACAATAAACATTCATCTTCTGATATGTGGGGCCCATCAAGAAAACCGATAACATCATCCATTGACCTCGAATCAAATGGTTGTTGGTCTTTATGATGTAATCCTTTTGGTTGTTGCATTTTCAACTGATCCCATAGTACTTCGGCCATTGCAATGGCAACCTGCAGTTTTCATTATACAAAAAAAAATGTTTCAATTAGTAAGACTTCATTCATCTGGAAAATGACAACTTAACAGCATACCTGTTTAAGATTGATTGACTGAAGGTATCCATTAACAACAATCACACTATAATCAGTCAAAGCTGTTGAAGCAAAATCTTCAATCAAACTCTTCTTAGATCCAAAACCATACATTAGAAGACCAAAACCATATCTGTAAGGGTTGAAAAAGGAAAACATTTATCATAAACACACACACACACACAAATATACTAGAATAAGGATTGACATGTAAATGTGTACCTCAACTCAAAAACCCAGTCATTGTACTGACTTTTGTAACTATTTATCAGTGAAGCAATTTCTTTCTCATGCTTTGGCTCAATGTTAGACACCTCAGCTCGAAGTTCCTGCATTCACAGTTTGATTTCTTTCTCATGCTTTCACTAAAAAGAGCCATTCTTTGATTTTTGGATGTAAAAGTACTATTTTATCCCCCTAACTCTCTATGGACTTTCATAGCAAGTGGTAATAACACAATAACGCATATCAGATTCGCAATTGAGAAAAATTCCCAGCTACAAAATTTCCGTTCACTACTAGGTTTAGGTTTGACACAAAAAATGAAAAGGCGAGTTTTTATATAAAGGAATAATAAGTACGTTATCACCCATTAGATAGATGAAGCAAGTTAAGGAGATTAGAGAATAGAGAACCTGTTCATCAACCAGATCAATTTCGGAAAGCTTTCTGGCTGATTTCTTCCCCGACTTTCCAGACTCTTTTGCTAAGAAATAATTTCTCGAAAATCCAAACTCCTCTTCATCGATATCAATTTCCTCCATTTTGTTGAGAACCCCAATCGGCAGAGAAGCTGTGCCCTAGTTATCCTTTGTTTCCCGCCATTTTTTCTAGTGCAATTTAATAATAATTTTCTTATCAAACGCAGCTGTAGAATAGAAGAGGTGTCAAAACTCAAAATAGTCTAGTCATAGAAAGTTTTGGATTAATTTGTAAAAAACACTATAAGCTAATAAATATATATTTTAATTTTGACTATAAGCTAATAAACATTTCTTAGTTTTTTGCAAGAAAATGCTTATATGTATAAAAGGACCAAAAAGAGCTTCCTTTTGACTTTTTATTATTATTATTATTACAACTAAAAACATGAGCCAGAAGGCTTCCTGCCGGTTATGATTATAAAAACATGAATCAAAAAAATTGGGGAAACACGAATATTAATATTAAGAGAGTAATGTATACATTCCTCTAAGGCATTTGATCAAACAGCTTGCCTGCAAGGCCAACCATCCCAACTCAGATCAAAAACCATCATACATATAAGCCTTAAGAACACAAATTCAAACATCTAATTCAAGATAAATAACATTGTACACATCAGATATCATATATGAACAACAAACGCATTCTCGTTTTTACAGATGCCATTTATGAACAACAAACAAGTAGCAACTCAGTGGCAGCAAACAAGTAGCTGTGGTTATCCAAGACAGAAAGAGAGAAAAAAAAAATCGACAATATAAATTGATAATAACACCAGCATCAACTGATAACCTTGAAAAAGGTATCAATTGATATCAAGATTGGCGTTTCAAAAGAAAGCAGAAAAAGAGGAAGAAAGAAAGAAGAAAAATGGAACCTGGGGTGCGACGATGTAGCTGTGGCTATCGAAGGTCACCGACCGGTGGCTTTGGCGACGGCATACGGCGGCGAGCAGGGGAGGGAATCTTATAGTGAGAGCAGACGAGAGAAGCGAGCTGTATTGGAGTCGTACGTTAGGTTTTATTAGCTTAAAAGGTTTTACAAAAATATTTATCAAATGGCATAATTTTGAAAATATTAACCAAATTGAGAGATAATGAAATTTAATCTAACCACAAACGCCGTTTCACAAAGTCGACCACATTATGGTGTTATTTGGGTCAGAACCAAACCGAACTGATTCGAACCCGAATAACCCGAGAACTGAATAAGGATAATTATATGAACCGAAAACATAATCAAATAAGCAATACGGGTTCGATTCGGTTCGGTTCGGTTCAGTTCGGTTCCGACCCGAATAACCCAAATAACATGTATAAGATGATTAATGACTTATTATGATTGTATAACCCGAATAACTCGAATAACCCAAATAACATTTACAATGTGATTATAACTATTGTATTTTGTATGACTTTTGCAGTTTATGATTTCATAACAAATCTTTTAAAAAAACAAATTTCTTAATTAAAAAATAATACAAAGTATATATATTTGTTTCAAATGTGCAAAAAGAGTTAGAATTTGTGTACTAAGAATATAAACACGGATTAACATTCAAGGCAGTAGATCGATCAAGGCAACAACCGCAACTCGCAAGTAGGGATGAGAAAAACTCTCGATCAATCAAATATTCATGTCGTCGATTTGGTGTATTATGCTACTGGGATCGATTGCGTTGTTTTTTTTTTGTTTCCAGGTTACGTAAGTATTGGGTTACGATCGATAGAACACAAGAGTACAAGACCGAATAAGTTATCGATCAAGGGGAAAAAATGTGACTTTTCAAATTCGGTTCGGTCCATTTGGCCCGAATAAGCCCTTATTCGGGTAACCTGAATCGAATAACCCGAAAACCGAATAAGTCTCATATAGATATCCAAAAACCGAATCGAATTGATTATTCGGGCCTAATTCGGTTCGGTTCTATTCAGGTTTTCGGGCCAAATTCTATCCCTAGACCACACCATACACGGTTCAGTTTCTTCCTTTTTTATAGTTCAATTTTCTACCTGATCTCCTAAAGATTGATTCAAGTGTGTATGGTGCGATTGATTCAAGTGTGTATGGTGCTGTTTGATTTTTTGAAGCAAAAATTCATGAAGTCTGCAGACCATTTGTGTAACCCTCTGCAATAGAAGAGGTGGACCAAACGACTGCAGACTGTAATAAGAAGCGTGTTTGTTTTTTTAACATCTGCATACTGCTGTAGATATTAAAAAATTTAAATAAACTAATTTTATAAACCAAAAATAGCTTTTTAATACGTAAAATTTAATAATGTATAACATTTCGGTAAAAATTAATGATATTTCAGTAAAAATAATAATATTTCAAAAAAAAAAAGATATTTTAGTAAAAAATAATGATATTTCATCAAGAAATTATCATTAATGAATATAAAAAAAAAATTAAAAAAAATCAACAAGAATAAACGAAAAAAAAAACGGAAAAAAAATGAAATAAAACTTTAACAACATATAATCAAAATTTCAGCAATAAAAAAAAGAAGAAGAATAAGAGGTCGGAAGAGGCAGTACAATTGCTGCACCAAACAGAGCACGCTCAGAGGTTTTTGACTCAAAAGACTTTAAGGAACAGACAGCTGCGAGATGAAAAGTGATGCGTGTGTGCTGCGCCGCGCAACAATAAGAGGTTTGAAAAGTTAAAAAAAAAAAAACAAACATCACCTATGTGTGTGTGAAGCTCACATGCAAGTTATTTATTATTTTTATTATATTAAAGCCCGAATAAATAGCATTATGATTTTAATTAATTCCATTATATACTAATATACAAATATATTCATGTTAGGGGCTGTTTTTTTTTTTTTTGTGAAGATCTGTGCAACCATTTTTGTCTACGCCACACAGACAACGCGCAGATATATGGCCTCACAGAGTGAAGTGCAATATACCCTTTGGGGTTATGGTTTACAAACAAAAATAATAAAACGGTAAAATATGAATAAATTTTTCTGATTTATTTAAAATGTATCAATAAGATTATCATAATTTTTATTATCTTCACATAAATTGTATTTTTGTTTTTCTATTTTAACATCATTGAAAATCCATTAGAAAAAAATAGCTTTCTTTTCATTTTCTTTTTTCAAATAAACAAAGTTACTTTTTAATATATATAAATGTTATCATTCATAAAGTAACTTGTTAGCATCGAGTATATCTAATCTTACACTCTATCAAACATAAAAGAAAGAGATAGAGAGTAAAAGAAAGAGAAACATAGTAAAGAGAGAAACAAAACAAGAAAAAAAATATTAGATTAATCTTAATTTTTTGTGGAGATCAAAGAGTGGAGAGGATATCAGATTATCGGAAAGGGTTGGCGAACACGAAGAAAGAGAGTGAGACGGAAAAGCCATGGTCCGACGACGGAGTGGTCCGGCGATTGACAACAATGACCGGTGGGGAAGACACAGTTGGGCAACAGGCGGCAGTGTTACTCTGGTGAGATTTGGATGTTTTCCGTCATCAAAATTTCTGGTTCTTTATTGTTTTCTTAAACTTAAATTTTTTGTAGTACCCTGTTTCAAATTTGCCTTATTAATTGGGGTTGTGACTCAATCATTAGTTGTCATGGGGATTAGAGCTTTGGGAAAAGGAGGATTTGGCCCATTTCGAATGTAGTTTATGATTCAAGTGACCCATGTATTCGATTGTGTCTTCGGGAGCCAAGGGTATGATTGTAAATTGATATCTCGACATGTTATGCGTTTTAGGCTTTATTAGGAAGGTTTTAAGGCTCAGGTGTGATACTAGGAGTGTAGGACTTCTCGCCACCTTTTCGTGGATATAAGGTTCGCTGGAAACGGACTTATGACAAGTGAGTTATGACACTTTGAAGGTTTTGGCATAATTAGTCCCTGATGGAAATACTTGACATATCAACCCCATGCATGCAAAGATACAAGCATGTGTTCAGCTGGGTACGCCCAACGTATGAAAGTGAATAAGTATCGCGGGTGGTTTTGAGTACGTCGGACGTACAAAGGGGTACGCGGGGCGTATTCCCTTCAAACCAAAACCCTAAATTATCAGGCTTGTGCCCTATATAAGCCGCATTATATCCTTCCTTGGGTCATTTCAAGTCAGCCACCACCCTTTTTCACATCCATGAAACCCTAGATTGCCTTGGGTAGAGCTTAGAGCTTAAAAGAAGACTTGTTAATGTGTGTACAAGAAGAGGAAGGTGGTGTTCAAGTGTTGATCATGGAAGGGAGCTTGTAGATCTAGAAAGTTCTCATATTTTGCAACCTATTGGAGGTAAAAAGCTCTGATCTTGACCTTCCATTTCATAGATCCTATTTTGGGTTGGTTTTTGGCCATTTTTAGCCTTTTGCTTGGTCTTGGTGAGCTAAGGTTGTTTTAGGGACTCAAACTTGTAAATCTGGACATTGTAAGGTCCCCTCTCTCGTAAAGGTGCAAGCTTTGTGAAGTGTTTGAATCCAAACATGAGTTAATACCATCTATTAAGCTCTTTTGAGCTCTAGAGCCCCATTAAGCCATGCATGTTAGTAAAGCTGCCAAATTTACTTGTGAAGCCACTTATATAAGTCAGACTTGAGAGTTGGAGTAAGGGCTGAAGTGATTAAGTGCTTATTTGGAGAGGGTTGGACTTCAGAAGAGTACGTCGGGCGTACATTTGGTACGTTGCGCGTACTGGCCCAAAGTAGTATACGATGGGCGTACCATCTGAGTACGCAGGGCGTACTCGACCTGGTTAACTCACTTTGTTTTGTTGACCTTTTTGGGATTTGGACCATGGACCAGGAACTGGTTAGGGTAGCCCATTTAATATTTCAGGCCTTTTTGGATATTGGGCCTCCTTGGGATAGGTCCAAGACAAATTTCGGCCTTATTGGGCCTTGTGGACCATTTCGGGTTTGGGCTATTATTTGAGTTGTGGATTGTTGGACCAGCTAAAGATGTGTGCTTGGATTGGAATTAAGTTATTGGGCTTAGGGTGAGGTCCATGAAAAGGTTTGGGCCCAATTTGGAAAATTGGGCCATTAGTAGGCCTTTATGGATTTTGGAGTTTTGGGTTTGATTGGCTTTGGATTTAGTCCTTTGTTATGTATCTTGTGGGCCAGGGGTAAAATGGTCATTTTACCCCAAGTATGGGTTATGGATCATGGTTTAGAACCCAATTGCTAATTGGATGATATTATGGTATTAATAGCTTGAGGGGTTGCCAGAATAACAATTAAGGACTTCTTGTAGTGGACTTCAGCAGTGTGTGGTGAGTTACCTTCTAGTAGAAATGGGTCTAAGGCCAGAATGTTGGCCCATTAGTAGGAGTTGTTTGATATTTGATTTTCTTTGTGATAATTATCTAGGTTTCCTACTACCTAATATGTTTTATGTATTAGCATGGTATGATGTTATATGATAGTAGGTAGTAGGGGGAATAGTCTCTGTGTCACGATCGTAAGGACCGAAGGGTAGGTTGGGCACCCCAGAATTGTCTGAAAGTACGTTTATGTTATGTTATTATGTGGTAGTAGTATGGAGTGAAATAGTCCCCAATAGTTGGTCGAGATAAACCGACGGGTGAGTCAAGCACCCCAGAATGGCTTGACTTGGGTAAGTCAAGCACCCCAAAATGGCTTGACCTAGGTAAGTCAAGCACCCCATAATGGCTTGACTTGGGTAGGTTAGGCACCCCATTGTATGGTAGTATGTTTGTTATATGGTATGTGGTATGATGGAGGAACTTATCAAGCTTCGTGCTTATGGTTTACAGTTTTAGTTTCAGGTACTCGTTTTCAAGGAAATGAGTCAGCTTGATCGCAACGCATCACACTATGTTTTCCGCACATGAGATCTTTGGGATTACACCCTGATATTATTTTATGATAACATGTTTTGATTACTGACCCTTGGGTCTTGACATAAGATGTTATTATGGATGTTTTTACATTGTCGGTTTTATGAATTGTTAAACTAAAAATGAAATTTTTAGTCTTGAATTTTGGGATGTTACATCTTTGGGGTAAGAATTTTGTATCTCTAACTAGATTTTTGGTTTTACATTTTAGAATTTAAGAGATAGTTTCTTAACTTAATTAGTTTCCGAATGTCATGCGGTTTTGATTTTGTCAATGATTCTTCTGATTTTATCAATGGTTTTCGGATGATTTTATCACTTAATATGTAAAGCGAATTTTTCTAAAAAAAATTACACTACTGGAAAAAATTGAGGGGTATCCCAGCTACCCTGGGATCTTCATTAGATTCGCCCATGGACGTAATCTACCTTCTTGTGGCCCTATCTCACCCTGTAAGTCTCCAAGATCTAACATTTAAGACTTTTTCATGCTAGATCTAAGTTTTTAGTTGTGTAGATATCATTTTAGCCCCAAAGTCTTGATGATCTTGAAGTTTTAGGAACTCTAGAACTTGGTGTTGATGTTTTTATGCTTCTAAACCTTTAATGATAGATAAAAAGGCCATGTATGTGCTCTCATTGAGCCATGCAGTTGGATTTGGCATTTCAAGTATGTTTATGGACTTAAGGTTTAGTTTTATGGGTGATTGAGCCATAGTTATGCATAAAGTTGGAAATTTTATTTGTTATGACCATCAGCAGATTCATATTTGGAAAATTGGCCCTATGCACTTAAAAGATTAAGTCTTTAAGGAGAAGGTTGTTAAGCTCGTTTGCACGGTGTGACAAGCATGGGATCGCGACATGATCTTTGGGCTGATTCATGATTATTTTATCGCATAGTGTTTCGTGGTGCGTCTGGTTAATGGTCATTGCACGACTGTTAACATTGATAGTTTGATTTTTGACTTTTGGTCAATTTTGAGTAATTAGTTGTTGACTAGTGATGACCTCCGATTTTTACCTTAGATGGTCATGTTGCTAATTCTTCGTGTAGCGAGTGTGTGACTGTTCAACTTATTGATTTAAGTGAGTTATATCACTATACTGTGTGGTACAATATGTATCCCCTATAGTATGTTATAGTGTAGATACATTGTAGTATGTTTGTTATGCAAGTAGGTTAGTATAGTCTTTTGCATGTTGATTGTTTGATTGCTTGATTGTATGATATGTCGACATGTTATGTTTGAGGAGTTGACAATGGATCGACACTAGATCCGAGAGCCTAGCTTACATGTATCAGGGTTAGACGCACACTAGAGCCTTTAACTATTGGGATTACTAGACATGCACTAGGGTTGTTAGTCATCATGACTAGATGTGTACCAAAGCCATTAGTCACTATTTGTTCAAGTAGATCGGTACTAGAGTCAAAATGACTTTGTTTGTATGCATTGTATGTATATTGTGGTATATGGTATTTCAGGGGAACTCACTAAGGTTTATGCTTATGGTTGTTGATTTAATGTTTTTCAGGTAGTTCCTATGATTTGGGAAAGGTTTCAGTTTGATTGTATGATGCTTACATCATTATTATTTTTTTCAATAGATTTCCGTTTTAATGATATTCAATATATTTTTACACTATGGCTCGATGGTGTTTTGGAATGATTTACAACCTTAGTCCTTTTATGAAGATGTTTTGAATGATTTACTTATTAATTTAAAAGAAATTTTGGAACGTTACACGAACCATCAACGATGTAGTAACATGATGCCACCTTTAGTTCCTTTACACTCTCACTCACTTTGTTTTCTCCCAATGTCGACGATGCTCCGACCACCAAACCCAACCAATGATGGCGAAAATGAACAAAAAATGTTACGTTAAAAGAAAACATAATGCAAATCGAATCAAGTGAGAGTGCAAATCAATGTTAGAGTTGTGGATATGGTTCGTGATTCCACAACCTTAGTCCTTTTATGAAGATGTTTTGAATGATTTACTTATTAATTTAAAAGAAAATTTGGAACGTTACACGAACCATCAACGACGTAGTAACATGATGCCACCTTTAGTTCCTTTACACTCTCACTCACTTTGCTTTCTCCCAATGTCGGCGATGCTCCGACCACCAAACCCAACCAATGATGGCGAAAATGAACAAAAAAATGTTACGTTAAAAGAAAACATAATGCAAATCGAATCAATATACAAGTGAGAGTGCAAATCAATGTTAGAGTTGTGGATATGGTTCGTGATTCCACAGCCGCCGTCAACAATTTCTTTTCCGGTGAGACCATTGTAGGGAAGATAGAGATACAGGGGTAAGAAGAGATAAGAGCTAGGATTCAATTATTAGGTAGACATGTATTGATTTAACTCTAATGATGGGGAGAGTGGTGGTGATGGAGACTGATGATAGCTTTTAGGAAGAAGATGTTTATTTAATGATTTAATTTATATAATAATTAAAACTAAATTATATAGGGTAAAGTGAATATACCTAACAACCTTATATAAGCTTAGGTACCTAACCTCATCAAACTACGTCATTTTGCATTAAATTTTCATTGCAATCATCCAAGGTTCTTAAACTTCATCCCTAAACTTGATTTACTTCAAAAAAATTTGGAAATTCATCATTATATTTTTCCTACATCCTTTCATTTGTAGCGGTAGGATATGAAGCCCATCAGGTGATATTCGATAGAAAGACGTGATGTTAAAGAAATATATTGGTGAAAGTCTTAAGATTTTGGAAGCAATCAAGTTATGAAGTTGAAGTTTAAGAACCTTAGACAATTACAATGTAAATATGATACAAACTGATGTAGTATTATGGAGTTTATATAAGGTTGTTAGATATATTCACTTTTCCCTATAAAAGAAATAAAAAAATACTATTGAAGGTAAATAGTTATTTTAAATCATATCAGGATCAAAAATAAAATATAGATGATCCGAGTAAAAAAAAAAAAAAAAAAAAAAAGTTAGAAATAAATATGCAGATTACACCAAAGTACCAAACTACAGGAACCATTCATGTAATTTACCCTATTTTTTGCGAAAAAGAAGGAGAGCACTTTCTAATTTTTATTGTTTCTTTGTATTTCCTGAAGAAATCGTTTTATCTGCTTTTAGAATCAAATAGATCCCCATAAAAGTCATTCGGCAGTCCCTAATTTAGAAATCGATTTGATTTTGATTTGTATTTGTATTTGTTGATTGATCCGCCACACACACAGTCTGTGCACACACACACACACACAAGAAAGGAATTAAATCTAGAGAAACTGGTTTGAATATACACAACAAGGAGGGAAGGAGAGAGATAGATAGATTTGTGTGTGATGATGGAATGAAGACGAAGAGGAAGAGGTTGGAAGATGGGAAGGGCGGAGTTAGATTATAATTATTCGAATAATGGCAGAGGCGGAAGAGGAGTACCCAAATGTTGTTCGTATAAGAGGACCACTGTTATCATATGTTCCATCAACATTGTTGTTGCTCTTTACGTTTTTCAGAATCTTTATACTTCTCTTTACTCCTACTCATATCGAGATTCACACAGCGGTAATTGCTTCCATTTGTTTTCTCCCTAAAATCTCGATTTAGCGTTAACGTATTTGTGGCTTATGATTGCCTTTAATTTTTGTATCAAAACCGATCATACCCTTCTTTGGTTTAATTCGTGCCTGTGTTATGGAACCTAGTAGTAGAGTTTGTTTTTGTGCATTTTGTTGATCATTAGATGAAACCTAGTTGTGAAGTTTTCATTTGTGCAATTAAGTGATCAGTCTGCAATGTTTAGATGAAGATAAAATCTAGTTGTAGAGATTGTTTTTTGATTATTTCGCAATCTTCAAAAAGTATATAGATTATAGATAAAACCTAGTCGTGGACTTTGTTGTTTATGCACTTTATCGAGCATTCACAATTTGGGGGTTTACTAATCCCTAGAAGATCCAAGATTTCCAAATTGATCAGTAATAAGTTTGGTATGTGTTCTTGTGTACAGCAGTTACCTACACTCCAGATCAAATTAGAAACATGGAAGAATCAATGCGGATACGAAAGCAATCTGAACCTAGAAAGCTCATTGAAACTGTAAAATCCTTTCTCTTTTTTCAATTGTATCCATTTTTTGCTCTGAGTTTGCAAAAATTTGGTGTGTTTTTTTTTTGTTGGTTAAAGGTTAAACTAATCAAACAAAAAGTTGATAGAAGAGAGGAGGAGGAGGGCATGGTTGAATTACCACAGCCATTGAAACAGAAGTTAACTAATGAGATCATAGAACTACTGAGTGGATTGAATCAGAATGGTGGTGCTAACTCAACTTTACAGCATGGTAACTTTAACTCTATGAATTTCATCCCTTTCACCCTCTACACTACACTACTTGTTTTGATTTTTGAACAAATGCTGAAATGAAAAAGAAAAATAATGTTTTTTTTTTCCCTTACAGAAGCAGTTGAAGACTGGAGGCTGCAAAAACTAGAGGAAGTCAAAACAATTACTACTGGTCAAACGAAAACCTCAAAGTCAAATTCAACAATCCTACCAGATGAAGCAGGTGTTACAAAATCTATTAACTCATTCTTTTCATCATTTAATCAAAAAGAAACATAACAAGATCACATGTGACATGTTGTTTATAGGTATTCTAGCAAGAGTGTTGGAGTTCAATTGGGCTGAGTTATCACATGAAATTGGGCTTTGGATACCGGTTAATGTCATCAACAATGAACATAACGACAAGCCCGAGGGTGAAGATGATTTTGGTAATTATTTTTTCTTTTTTGTGATTTGGGAATTTAAATTTATGTAAAATAATTGAGTTAAAAAATTGTCAGATGATAGCATATTAGCTGGGAGGAGGTTGCCTCCTGAGTGTAATACAGAGCTTCATACAGACTATGGTGGTCAAGCAGTCAAATGGGGGTTGACTCATCAGAAAGAAAGTGCATATGAATGTTGTCAGGCTTGTTTAAATCAGGCTAAAAATGCAAGACCTGATGAAATGAAATGTAATATTTGGGTTTATTGTCCTGCTGAACAAGGATGCCATTCACCAGATATATACCAACATAAACTTGAAGAATGCTGGCTTAAATATGTAAGCTCTTCATTATCTCTTAAATCCATCTTTCTGTATTAAGATCATAAAAATAAACACCTATATGATTATGCAGGCAGAAACACCGAAAGTGAGCTTTAAGGATAAATATTCAGAAAGTTACAGAAGAAATCACCCGAATGCACCTTTGGTTGTTCCTTGGGTCTCGGGTGTTATAAGTTCTTGAATGATTTCATGAACCAACATTGTTTACAAATCTGTCTGAATACCTACCAACATTGTTTGCATATTGAAGGAAGGCTTGCATCTGTGTTTGTATTTGTATCTGTATCTGTATCTGAATGAATGCAGTTTTGGTGACTTGGGATCTTTTACTTGAAAGTTTTGAACTAATGTGTATTTGTGGAGTTTGTTAGTGAAAAAGACTAGAGCTGAAAGAGAAGCTTGGGGCAATGCGAAATGGCTTTGCTTTTTTTGAGTGTAATTTGAAACATTTTACAAATTGAGAATTTGGGGGGGGATTCAAGGTGTTTGGGATTGTTTTCTCAAAGTCCTCTGTATAACGATTTATGTTTTATAACTTCTTTTCCATTAAGAAATTTGCTGAAATATGAAGTGAAAATGATGTTTTGAAATTTGCATTGATCGTTTGAGTTGAACGTGCTAATGAGCAAAAAAGTAATCAAATAATCAAATGATTATGTAGTTATCTCAATTTGATTGTTGAAATCGAAATCACCACATTCAAATAACTTGTGTCTGATGTTTCAATAAAACCGTTGAATTTGATGGTATGTTAAATGACGAAGTAAATAAGCCAAATGAAATTACTAAATTTATAGGGTGTCGAGAAATTTGTTGGTAAGTTAGTCATTTTTTAATGTATTTATTTGTAATTTTGATGTTTTAGGGATGCCTACGATTTGGCTGAACTCAATGGGATTGGTTCATAAGTATTTTTTTATTATTCAAGAGTAACATACTTTTTTTTTATAAGACAAATAACTGTTTTAAAATTATTAGAAGAATGATAAGTAACTTTAATGTATTGTTCATAAAAAAAAAAAAAAAAAAAATCTTTATCATAATGATATTTTATGAATAAAATGTTTTAAGATGTTTAGTTCGTAGGTTTTTATGGGAATCAATTCCCATTGATGTTTTTAGTATTTTTTTTTACTTAAAACCTGTAAAATACCTAATCGTTTTTCAGGTTCTTTTAAGCAAAATTAAGCAATACCCTGAAAAGTGAAAACCCTATTCTTCTTACGATCGTTCGTTTTAAGTTTTAACCCTCCTCTTCGGTCCTCATATACGATCTTCTTAACATCAATCTATGATAACATCTTGAAGGAACTGCTCCTCCCCCTGTTCGAAGTTCTGCTGTGTTTCTTGATCGATCAAACAGGTAAAGATTATTCTCTCTTGTTGATTTTTACTCAATAATACGTATCTGGTTCCTCAATTGCACGAATTGTTGCTGTTAATAAGTGGAATTAGTGATACATAATTGGTTTCTTAAGTCGCACAAATTTCGTATTTGGAAATTGAAAAACTCAATGTGTCTGTTAACGACATAAGAGAAATTGATAATCAGAACCGAATTGAATTTCAACATATTGATTTGAAACTGAGTGATGCTGGTGAGGAAGGCCAAGAGGGAAACGAAGGAGGTAATGAATAATGAAACTGATGGTTTAAAATTACAAAACGAGGTTCAAGTAAGAGACGATTTGCATCCAAGTGTTGTAAATGTTGAGGTTAATTTCATGGCTGAATATTAAAGAAACATGAGATTCGATGATAACATGTATATGATATGATGTGGTATACTAATACTTGTTTGTTATCTTGCAGGAAAAAGCATGCAATTAGCTAACAATCCAATCCGTCAAACTCACTACAACATTCTGAATGTGAAAGAAGATGCAACCCATGAAGAAATCCGTTCAAGCTATCGATCTGCTCTTCTCACTTCCCATCCAGATAAGTTACAAAACACTTCCATTTCCAACCACCGAGATCTGGGATCTCAATTTCTCCATATCCAAACAGCTTGGGAAATCCTAGGAGATGTGAAATCACGGGCATTATATGACCAGGAGCTTCGGGTTTCAAGACATGATGAGTTAACTGCAGATGAAGTTGAGCTAGAGGATTTGGCGGTGGAAACTAGCGGTGATATGGTGGAGCTTTTTTATCAGTGTAGGTGTGGTGATTACTTCTCACTTGATTCTTTGGAGTTGAGAGAGATGGGATTTGATATATTGATAAAAGAAGGTGAGAAGATATTGTTACAAGCACATGATGATGGTGCTTCGGTGACATCAATCTTGCTACCTTGCACTTCTTGTTCTTTGAAAATCCGTTTGGTGACCAAGAAAGATATTCGGCCTTAAATTTGTGGTAATTGATTCATGATTTGATTCAAATTTTGGCATGATAGGAGTCGATTGTAAGCAACCATTTTTGAAATCGAGAAGGAGATTATCGTTGTTATAACTTGTGTTGAAGTGAATGTAGAATGTAATGTATGTATACCTTGTGGGGTGTGATGAAATGAGTTCTTGTTCATAATATGCTACTAGGTTACAACCCGTGGTTTTCATGGTAAAAGAAATATTGATAATTAAAAATGATAATGAAAAATCAATGATTTTTAAAACTTTGTCCTTATTTTTACATAAATATACTTATGTAAATTGAATAAATTTTTTTAATTGAAGATGACACCCACAATTAAAGACGTAAAACAAAATAGATTGAAACCATGAAGTAATTAACACTTGAATTAGAAAATATGAATGGGACATTATAAAACAACTTGTTGCATCTTATAATTTGTTAAACATAAAATATACATTACAATTATAAATATATTCAACAAACATTATTTATTTATAGATATATTTTGATATTCAACAAATATTCAACATACACGGTTGAAGTGCCATTTCATTTTTTTCAAAGTGCCTTTATGAAGGACTACAAATTAATGAAATACCGGTTTTAGGAAAGTTTTAGCAAGTGTCCAAAGTGCATGCTCTTAAGTGAAACATTGGCAGCTTTCTAAAAATATTTTCATTTTGGTCCCTGTTATATGTTCCAACACATTAGCTTGTTTAACATAAGATACATAAGAAAAATAAGGGAATTTACAAACTATCAAGAAAATGACAAAGGGATTGACTTTGTGATTTGATGAAATTCCTCATTTCTCATGTAAATCATAGTATCTTATGCTTTACCCACCAAATATCCATGCATGGACCACCAGATCCCCATGCACCAAAGATTCTCTCCCTTTTTTTTACTCTTAGGGGGTGTTTGGCTAAGCTTTTGAAAGGCAAAAATCCTTTTAGGAAAAGTTGCAAAAAATCAGGATTCTTTAACTTTTCCAAAAAGTTCATTTTTCCTTATATAAAAAAGTAACTTTTACTAGATTACCAAACATCTTTTGCCTTTTTATCTTTTCCTAAAACTAAAAGATATTTTAAAAGATAAAACAAACACCCCCTTAATCACGACAGTAGAAGAAAGATTGGGCTATCCATTTATTAGTATAAGGATTAGTGTACGTCTAATTCCTGTAAGGAGTTATAGCCAGAGTCTCCTAGAGGGAGAGCGGTAATTTGTGTATAGATCTATACGGAGTTGACACCCCGCATATTCGCTGTTCACTACAGCTAGACAAGCCAGTCTAGGGTGAAAGATGTCTTTTCCAAACCGAGGGCGCCTGAGAAACGCCAAAACAGGCACTCTGTCAGATAAATATGGTTATAACGACTCAATAGAATATGTTATATTAACTAGAAATTTATGCAAGGGAAACCTCACAAATAACTTTTGGCACATTGTGTTGACTGTCCTACACGTGATATGTGATGGTCCGCATTTGTTGCATTGACTGTCCAATTTCATCACGTAGAATGTCCACAATTGCCATGTTGATTCTTTCTCCTAACAAGTATAGAGTCGAACTACTGCTATTTTACAAATTAAAAAGCGTAGGACTCTATGGGAAACGTTTGTAAATGATTTTGAAAACGACAAACTAACCTACACATATACATAGTTGGAACTAGAATTTCGAATTATAGCAGAAAATATAGGATTTTCTGGAGAAAACGATTTTTCTACGATCTCGATAACGATAAACTAGAACGCACCTTCAATTTTACTCAATAAGAGGAACAAGATTTTCAACCATATTTTCCTTTTGAAAATAAGGGATTTTTATTGAAACGGTTGACTATTACTATTCAAAAGAACTATTATCATACACAACTCGTTTTTACAAATCACTTCTTATAAGGATGAACGAAAGTGATGACATACACACATATATCCATGATTTTCAAGGCAAGACTTCAAACGATTTCATAGAAAATATCGGATTTTATGAAATTACAATGATGCAAGACCATTTAGCTTTATTTTGGATTCTTTTCTACTAATATATCCATGATTTTCTAGTAAGCAGGTAATAAGGGACGTTGATGCAAGACCATTTAGCTTTAGTTTGGATTCTTTTCTACTAATGTATCTTTTGTGTAACTCGAAGAACAAATACAATATGTAAACAATGTAATTTTGTCATCTCAATGTATGATGTTTGGATTGCTCTGTTTCATTTATACTCATTTTTTATGATACTGTACAATGAAGTCACCCGCCTGCGGACGTTTCCGCCGTCTGGTACTGGGGTGTGACAGATTGGTATCAGAGCATTGTTTATAGTGATCTGGTATATCTAGCCATATGAGATATACAACTATAAATACAATGAGACTAAAACAAACTCTGCCTAAAAGTATACTTTAGGAAGATAAGTGTTTATAAAAGTTTACATAATTACTAACCCAAAATCATAACGAGAAGAAACCAAAAGTAACTAAAGGTTGAACACTACAATTTAAAATACTATAGGGGTATTTTAGGATACTATAAACCCCTCACACCTAAACTATCCCCATATACCTCGTGTCGCGAATCTTGCGCCAATGACGTAGTTGAAATTCCTCACCAAGACTTCTACTACCCGCGTCACGATGATTGCGGATGGGGCAAGGAGAGACCGAAAGAAGCCCAAGAGGAAAATCTAGAAATGGATCCTAAGCGATACCCAGAGATGAATTGTGAAAGGGAGAATTCCGACTAAGAACCCAACAAGGATAAAAGCGCCAAGGAAACCCTTGACAAGCTTTACCCGATTGGGAGCAGACCAAAGATCCTTTCACATTTCTCTTCCCAGATACGTAACCACCCAATATAAGTGCCCCTGGAATGAACATACCTAGAAACAAAACAATACCCATGCAAAGACGAGCTTAGGAATTGATTCCTACCCGGTTCAGAGCGCACCTCCACAAAAGACAATCCGATCCACAATTGATGCGGACCAAACTCCGATAGCCAACACCCTCACGAATCAGACATCCGTTTGGGTTGCAAGAAACCTGAATTGACCCCCAGTTTCCAACTCTCCGTCATGGAGTAATGGAGACCATAAGCAAAGCCCAGTGTGCAAAAGTGTAAATCCGATCCCCCACAAGTAACAAGAAAACCATTTCAAATGCCTTACGAAATCCACCAGTAGGACTAGAAAACTATGTAGACAATGTACACTCTTTAAAAGAGGAAATGGTCATTTGGAGACCACGACTCATAGCAATCAAGGCTAAGACAGCCTTAATAGCGTAAGGAACACAAAAAGGGCACCCTTAATATAAGTGGGATGGCCAAGCAGTTTGTGCGACAAAGGAGGATCATAACACTACTCGCCTTAGGTGCATACTGCAACCAGTAATAGTAAACCAAGAGGAGTACATCCTCCAAGAATCCATACAACCGAATCCGTTAACCATATTGCTAGCTATGTGATATTTTGACGGACTTAATGTCATGCAATACATGTTTCCACTCTCTACCATAACTGCATCATGGGGTTGAAGGTTGACCCAATTAACACCAGTACATTAAAATTATACGAGTAAACTCACTTGAGACTAACTCGAGTAATCACAAGCTCACTTTTAGTATGCAACAGAGTTATGTCTTCTCATGAAGGTAACCAGTACCCTAACCATGCACCAGTCCTACGAATAGACTCCGCCACTTTCCAAGCCACTATAACAGCGGCCGTGGCAGCCGTCATGGCATACTTGAATTCCAACGACACAGACGAAGTTGGAGGCAGTGTCGGTAACTTCAACCGTAACAACGCCCAAGGAAACCAATGAAGAACAACGCACTCGTGCACTCAAAAACCTAAATCTAAGAACAAGAAACAAAAGTTCGGGAATGAAAAAGGAGGTAGTTTGACTCAGAGGCTTACTAAAAGGCAACAAGCGGGATCAGTCCCTACCCCTACTAACCCTACTCCTCCCACATCAAGAAAATCATACATTGGGAACAATCCACCCTACAAAAAGTGCAAATACCATCAGTGGGGAGCCTGCCAGACATTTCGTTGTAAAAGGTGCAACAAGATGGGACACACCTCCTGCTACTGTAGGGCCACAACCCCATGCATCACCCCAACTCCCAACCCAGAAGTAAGTCCAGTTTGTCACAAGTGCGATGCAACAGGACATATCAAGAGAGATTGTCCAACACAGATGACTAACGAAGGAGTCGACGACTAGACAGGAGTTGAAGACAAGGAACCCTACCGCAGATTTTGGTATGTTCCACGACAAAGAACACTATAATAAAAATAACTAAACCGCCACCATATGGACTTTGGAAAATCAAACATAGAAATAGAAGAACACATGCCTACATAAATACGCATGTCAAGATTTCTAGTCAATGAGTGTTGATTTTCTACATAAAAACAATTAAACTGAAACTTTGGAAAACCGTTATCGAGTTATCAAACTAGACTTAGCCAAAAGAACTAGATATGAAACATCCAAAAAATAAGGTCCAAAAATTTCAATTAAATTATTAAATAAACCATAATTATCAAAATCATTTCATCCAAAAACATAAGTCATCGTATCAAATCAGAGTATCATATCAAAACACATGTCAATATATCAGAGTAAAACATCCCAGGCTAAACAAACGGTGTGTGCACTGTAGTCATCCCGAGCTCTTCCCCTTGATACTGAAAGTTCCTGAAACCAAAACTAAAAACTATAAGCACGAAGCTTAGTGAGTCTCCCCAACGTACTACATACCATACACATAATCACATAAATTGGGCCCTCGCCCTTCCTCAGGTCCCGCCCGGCATCAGACAAAGTCCGACATCAGGCCCCGTCTGGTATGGAGCCCCACTCGGTATACCGATATGTTTCTTACAGGCCCCGCCTATCTCTGGGCCTCGCCGCTATACACATACAGACAATAACATATAATCATGCTAGCACATAAGGAATTATTCATAATACTATATATTCCTGTCCAGTCCTAAGGCCTTGCGTAACATGGGCCCCACCCATACTATGCTAATGATGAGATATGGAACCATGTCCACTCTTAGCTAATGATGAGATATGGGACCCCGCCCACACTCACCTCCCTACTAGACATATACACGTATCACAAAGACAACAAGTATAATTAAACATGCATTCTTTCCTCGGGTACCACCCGACATCGAACCGTAGTTCAAAAACTTACATATAATA